TTGTCTTCTCTTTTCTCCCCCTCCCTTCTCTTTTTCCATCTCTTCACAGCTTTCTTCTTATCTTCCTTTCTTTTCTTTTTCATCTCCTCCCTTCTCTTCCTTCTCATCTTACTCATCATCTTATTCTGCTTCTGCCTTTTCCGTTTGCGTCTCATTCTTTTCATTTTTTTCTTCGTTTTCCTTTTTCTTCCCTTAATCTTCATCCTCATCTTCTATTTCTTCTTCGTCCCCCTCCTCCTATTCCGCCACCATCTCTTCCTCCACTTCTCTTCTCTTCCTCTCCTCCTGCTCCCCCTACTCCTCCTCCTCCTCCTCCTTCTCCTCCTTCTTTTCCTCCACCACCACCACCTCCTCTTCTCCTCCTCCTCCTCCTCCTCTTTCTACTACTACTGCTACTACTTCTTCTTTTTCCTCCTCCTCCTCCTCTTCTTTCCTTCTTCTTCTTTTCCTTCCTCCCCCTCTCCTCTCCTTCCTCCTCCTCTCCTCCTCCTCCTCTCCTCTCCTCCTCCTTCCCCTGCTCTCTTTCTCCTCTCTCCTCCTTATTTGACCCTCCTCCTTTAACCGCATTTTTAATAGATAGTCATATCATGTGCAATGTATTGTCAGGCGAATAAATCTTTTGTTATGAAGAGGAAAAATACAATGCACATATTGAAGCCTTTTCCCTTAAGATACAAGCCATATAATACTTGACGTGTATTCATTGAATATTCATCTGTATGTGTTTTTGTTTATCGATTTATATCATTTCTATACGTACATGTCTCAATATCATACATAGCTATCTGTACCTTTTTACTTACATGTCCATACCGTTTCGCCATACATATTTGAAATATTTCTCCACACTCATTCATGTTGAGAATACCCATTTCCTTCCATCTAAACATATACGACACCACAGCACAAGCAAATACACTACCATTATATGTACTGTCCGATACACTTTTATACAGTACCATCGCATCTATACTCTTCCACACATCAACGTAAACAAACATTTTCATAGATTTTCATAGAATATTCAACAGATTTTCACAGTAGGTTTAGATTATGCAAAGGGACCCGTGAAAAGGCGTCGTCGTTGCGGGATCCCATTCAATCTCCACGAAGGAAGGGGATTCGATGCTGTTATGAGTTTATTGCCAGATGTTTACAGATAATCGGCAGTATCAGCGAGGTTTTATGGGTCAATCGCGTGCTGGCAAAAACGGAACTTTCGTCTTTATGGCTCAAGTTAAATTACACGAGGTATCAGATATGATTTTTTTTTTTATAAAAAAATATTTAAAACATCTAATGCCAATTAGATATTTATTATTGTTGTTTTGGGTAATGTTGTTCCTTTTTTTACATATGGAATTTGAGGTTTCTTTGTTTTTTGTTTAATCTTTGAATATTCAGCTTTGATACCAATCATTTCGAAAAATGAATATACATAAAGATTGAAAAAAAATAATATTAAAGTTATATGCTCATATGACAAGAAGTTTAGTACAAAATAACGAAATTAAATAATAAAAAAACAACAAAAAATACACCAACAAACACCAAAACTTCCCAAACACCATCTATAAATAACAATAAAATAAGATATTTAAGGAAGATTCGGCCGGCAATGCACCATGCACAGCGACTCGCTTTGCCGACGTTGCATGACGCGGATCAGTACGCTCGTCGGCGAACACAGGCATTTAAATCATGCACTGACACGCACGCACGTCATGGATGCCAGGCCTGTCATGCAGATTCTCTACTGCGGCGGTCATGAAGAGATGGTTTTTTTTTTTTCTTTTTTTTTTTTTTTTTTTTTGAAAACTCGTTTACGGTGCGAATTTAAGTGATATAGGAACGTCTTGATAACAATGATTTGTATCAGTATTATCAGTACTATCATAATTATTACTTTCATCGTCTTCAATATCATTATTATTATTTACATCATTATCATAATGATCATTATCAGGATTATTATGATTATCATCATCATTAGTGATAGTAGTAGTTTTTTGTGTAGTAGCATTATTATTAATGTTATTATTATTATCATTATTATTATTGTTGTTGTTGTTACTGTTGTCATTATTATCATTATCTTTATTACAACTTTCATAATAATTTTCCTCTTCATAATACCTTGTATGAGATTTATTCGCCTGACAGTACATTGCACAATAACTCTTAACAACTCCTTTATACACACGCTCCCTCCGTCTCCCCGCAGGTGATCACGTGGTTCCAGAACCGACGCGCCAAACTCAAACGAGACATGGAGGAACTCAAGAAGGACGTCGCGTCTCACAAGATCCTCAGCGACCATTCGAGCTTCATCAAGACTATGACGCAGATGGGGCTCCTTAAACACAAGCCGGGAGAAGTCATCGATATCAAGAAACTGACGGAATGACTAGAAGCCGGGCGATTTTGATTTGTATTGAGAGAGGGAGTGGCGGTCCGAAAGGAGATGGAGTGAGACGTCTCGAGCTCCGTTCGGAACCGC